TCCTGGCTGACCTCCAGCTTGTGGGATCCTGTAGGTTGTGTTTGGTAAATGCCTGGACACCTTGTTGCTGGTGACGGAGTGCAAGGTAGCCACGCTGAACCAGGATCAAAGCAATACCGCAACAGAGCAGGCATGTCAGTAGGGAATGAGGGGACAAAGCCACTCCCACTGCAAAGTTCTGAAGAAGACTTCCTGCAAGACCAGCATCTTGTGTTCCATCTAGACGTTTTGTCTGCTCTGGGTCAGCGGTGGTGATTGCCCAGTGCAGTGGTGTGGATAGGAGGGACATCCTAGAGGTGGAGGTGAGGAGATGGGACTGAGGGGACCAAGGGAGGCTTAGTTCTGGGCAGATGAGTGGACCCTTCTCTTGTGAGACTGCAGAGAATGAGGTATTTTGATACCCTCCTCACACACTCGATGTACAAGGGGAGTAAAGAGATGGAGAGGTCTGGAGTCATTGCTTACAGTGAGTACAAGGAGATGTTGGAGGATTAGGGGAATGTCTGCAGCTAATCTTAGCTACCCATTTGAGGTCATACTAATAAGCTTGATTGGCGTATCAAAGTACAATTTTGCCTCTTAATATAAACAGCAACCTTATGAGAGGTTGCATGCTTCCCATGAACATTATAGAAAATGTCACTTGAGACACATACTAAATTGTGTCTCTGTGAACTTTTACAGATTCAGCACTTCTGCTTTTGAATAAGGTGTACAGATTTCAGCAGGCTAGTGTTACCTCTGACAGCAGCTAGAAAAAGCTGGATAAATACAATTTAAAGGCATCAGAGAACTGTAGAAACAGTGAGGACTAGAGGGACTAAAATTCTAGAGAGGCAAGGACCACTCAGAGGTGACAATCAGCAGCTCTTTTCTCTCTTGGGAGCATTTGCCAATTCCAGGTGCAGGCTGAAGATTGGGAGTTGGCCCAGGTAGAGGGGCACTGATGGGAGAAAGAGAACGCATTTAGCAGTGTACAGGGCTAGAGTGACAGAAGTGGAGACTTGAGGGGTTTCATGCCTATGGCTGGTTTTCCCCACAAGACATTTGCTGAATTCCAAGTCTGTGCCAGTGTAAAGAGTCAGGCTGAACATTTCTGAAGGGCAGAGTACAATTTCCCTCATATTTAGAGTGCTTACAAAGCAAAGACCTGCCAAAGAGCCTGAAAAGAGAACCGTAAAGATAGGAAAGCCCCAGAGGGAGTGGGAAATTGACACTGGGCCTCTATACACCCTCTTCACCTGGGGCATTCACTGATTCTAGGAACAGTTAGAGGCTGGAAATCCAGGCTTAGTCCTTAGGAAAAGACTGCAGCTGAGGGACAGAGAAGCCAGCAGAGATTTTTGGAGCTTGAGTGACAAAATCAGAGACTTGAGTGGCCCCAAATGCATGGCTAGTTTCTCCTTCAAGATTTCCCCAATTTTGAAGATGGGTGGATTTGGAAGTCTACAGAACTGAATCTCCTGCAGTCTTTCAAGGAGGAGGAGATAAAGACATTTCAGGCTCTCAATTGAAAGCTTTCAAGGGCTTGCCCTAAAAACAGGGTGAACCAGAAGTAGACTGAGCCTTACCAGAACTGAGACTGAACCCCGAGTCCCCGAGTGGATTAAGGACTCCCTGTCTACCCTACTTGCCTAGCAGAGGAAAGGGGACCCTTTCTCTGGCAGATGATGACATCGTGTGGAGCCCTAACAGTTCTTTTATACCCATTTTCTGACATACAATAAAAAACTACTAGATGTGCAGAAAGGCAAGACCATATGCCTAGAATGAAGAGAGCAAAAACCAGACAATAGAAACAGATTCAAAGATAATCCAGACATTAGAGTTAGCATTAAGGATTTTAAAATAACTATGATTAATATATTCAAGGAAATAGAGGACAGAATGGATGAAAAGAAGAAGGATATTCCCAGAGACTTAGATTTTTTTTTTTTTAAGAATTAAATGGACATTCTAGAACTAAAAAATACAGAGTCTGAAATTGAGAACTCAACGGATAGGTTTAACAGCAGATTGGCTATACCAGTAGCCAAGATTAGTGAACTGGAAGACAGATCGATAGAAAATACCCAAATTGAAACAGAGAGAACCAAGAATCAAGGGGTGAAAAACTGGTAAGAATGTAAACCGTATTTGACACACTCAAAAGATCTAGCATATGTGTACTTGGAGTCCCAGAAGGAGAGGAGAGAGAATGGAGCAGAAGCAGTATTCATAGGATGGTTGAGAATTTTCCAAAATTGATGAGTTCACAGATTTAAGAAGCTGAATGAACCCCCAAGCAGGATAAAAACAGATTTAGCTCTCAAAATCAGTTAATCATTGCTTTGTATAAGTAATCCAGACATTATGTTCTTTTTAACCTGTTACTAGTTTTATGATCTTGAACAAGTCATTTGACCTTGCTGAGCCTTAGTTTCCCCATCTGTAAAAATGGGAATTAGATGAAAGACTGTGAAAAATTACCTTATAAACTATTAAGTTCTAAAGAGATACCAGGGGACATCACCATTATTATTCCAGCTTGACTGACTCTGGGACGGCCTGTTGGGGCAGGCTTCAGAGTTGTGTCCTAAACTCTGGTCAGCCTCTGTCCTCTGCCTTTTAAGGGGACTTCGGAGAGGGGATGTGGAGGCTGACCTCAAGGCGTAGGTCTCCTGTGAAGGAGCAGAAAGGTTTAGAATGAATCAAGCTTCTGGATGGGTTTGGTCATTGCTTGGCCCTCCCAGGAGCCTGGTAATCGAGAGATGACCAGGGTTGGCTTTCTGGGATCATGTGATCCACTTTGATCCAGTCCCAGCTGCACACCTTCCCTAGACCTGCCTTGATTCCACCATATCAGTCCTGCCTGTGACTGAGCCGGACCCCAGCCAGCCTCTGAGGTCCCAGAGCATTCCCTTATACTTGCCCCTGATTTAGGTCTGCATTTTCCACTCTCCTGCCCCCATTTCCTAATTGTGTCCAGTGACTGCAGGCAGAGCTCTTTAGTAACTGTGTTGCATTCAGTTATCTGGAAAACACTTGATAAAGTGTCTCAACTCGCATGGACTTTGTTATTGTGGAAGAGTTGTCACAGAAGAAGGAACAGCAGCCTGGACTGCAGTGAAGGCATCGGTCCTTCACAGATGAGGGGAGAGGAGAAGTTATCATGCTATAAAATGAGAAAGACGTAACATAGAAGTTCAGAATACAGGTTTTGGAATCAGACAATCTGGGTTTTATCTCTGGGCTCTGCTACATACCAGCTCAGTTTCTCCTTCTGTGAAATGAAGGTGATAGTCATACCTCACAGGCTTGTTGTGAGGTTTAAGTGAGCTTATATAAGTGCTCAATAAATAGTAGTTGCTATTAATACTAACTTCTAAAAGTTGTTTTGCCAACTAAGCTAAAGTTTATTCTTGAGCTAATGCATCATCAGCGAACTCAACAGGCTCTTGCATATGTACATAGCAAGGACATTTCTCTTACCAGTGACAACTATGATTTACTGCCTGCGTGTCTTTATTAGTTAAGGTAAGGATCTGTGTCTGGAAGTTTTGTCCTTTAGCAAAATAATTGGCTGATATTCCTACCAAGCTAAGCAAGGCCTGTACCATTCAAAAATGTTTTCTCTTCTCTGTTCTAACAGTTAAAAGAGAAGTGTTCTGAGTTGACTGTTGAGAATAAACACAGCCCTAGTAAGTAAAACTGCTAGTAGATTCACTTTTTAGAATATTTGCTTAGATTGCTACTGTTCCCTGCTCAGATCATCAAAAGCTGTTGGATGAGGAAGTAGTCAGTGGATTATGCTACCCCTGCCCATAAGTAAACATCTAAGAATCCCTTATTTCCAAGGACATTTTTCTTGAGTGTTTCTTAGAGTCTTAGAACTTGCAAGGATTTCTGCCAGAGTGAGCCTATTGTTGATTCTTCATAACACTTATCAATTGTTGGGTGATTATTTATTTACATGTCTCTATCCTCTTCCTGACTGCCTGCAACTTGAGGACCTGGAATCATGACTTGCTCATCTTTGTGCCTTTGGTTAGCAGAATGCCTGGCATGTAGTAACTGCTCAGTAACTGTTTGTGGAGTGAATGAATGCATCGTGTGTTGGACAGCACCCTTTTACCCCTCCAGGTTCATTCTCTGCCCCTCTTCACCCTGCTCTGGTCCCTGAGAGGCCAACCTGCAGATGACGTCAGCGGGCCCCCGGGGCCTCTGGCTTCTGGTTGGGTTTGGCCAATGACAGGAGATCAGAGGGAGAGAGGCGAGGGTATTTGTTCCACTGGCTCCCCCTCCTGTGGGGGTCACCATGTGCTGGTGTGTCCCTCAACAGAAGGTCACTTCTCTTGTCAAGGCAACTATTCTCCACGTTTCTCCTTCCACATGCTATGGCCTCTTCCTTCCCTTATCCTTTAAGGCCAAGGAGTGGTGAGACCTAGCACCAGGTCCCTGCACTGTCCCTGATTTTCCCTACACCCAGCTCACACCTGTATAATCGATCTGTTTGTAATTTAACCCTCCACAAATTATCCCGGTTGGAGTGTACCTTTTCCTTCCTGTTGGGAAGCAGCAAGCCCCAACTGCTTATGGAGATTTTAAGTTGTCTGAGCTGGACACTGGGGCCCCAGGCACTTATAAAGGTATACAGTGCAGTTCTTCAGAGAATGTGTGACATGGCTAGTCATTAAGAGCAATTGGATGCATGGCAGCTTTGGGGAAATAAATAGCAGTTTTAGAAACTATGCTCAAGAGAGGCTTTCTCCCACTGATAACTTGTAAGATCTTATTTTAGGCTGACTGACTGTTTTTAAGTCTCTGAGATTAGCCCTTATCATGGTTGTATGTCTGACTCAGCATGGGGCGTGCGAGAAGAGGAAGAGCTCAGGACCAAGTGTAATGAACGGGGATGCATACTTTAGGTACTAGCTTTGCCAACAGAAGACTTTGTAAGGAGTTACTTTGGTGTCTAATTCAGTGTTTAAATTTCTGCTCTTTGGGCTGTTTTTCTGTAGGTGATCATAAACAGCACAATCACACCCAATATGACTTTCACCAAAACGTCGCAGAAGTTTGGGCAGTGGGCCGACAGCAGAGCCAACACGGTGTTTGGTTTGGGGTTTTCCTCGGAGCAGCAGCTGACAAAGGTAACGTGGTCCTTTCCGCGGCGCACTCAGTCCTCATTAGGTCATCCCTGCTGAGGGACTGAGTGGTGCCGTTGGTGAGCAGGATTCCTCTCTGGACTTCCATGCCACCCCTTCTGGCACCGCAGGGCTGCCAAACCAGATGACCTTTTAGAAACACCAGGTTCCTTGAAAATGGTGACATCATTTGAGGAAGGAAAACATATGTGACAAATGCTGCTTCAGAGCCTGAGGTTGCAACATCAGGAAGCAGCTTTGCCAGTCGATCCTTCCCCACATCAGCCCTGCTCCCCGTGCCCAGGTCTCTCTGACAGCCATCAGCGTCGATGGCTCTCTGGTTGGAGCCCTTAGAGAGAGGGGGTAAGGCGATGCTTAATAGCAGGGCTTAACCTGGAATCCCCTCACCCCTTAAAATGTCACGCAGTGTTTTCTGTGTGTGTTGCTTTTTGTCTAGGGAGTGGGTTCATAGCTTTGATTCAATTCTCTGAGGGGTCTACGGCACACCTGTGGATAGTTAGAAAGGTGTTGAGGAGCAGATCTTGACTGACCACAGACTTGGAGAACCCCAAGATCTGTGGGAACAAACTGATGGTCTCTGAGAGGCCTCACCCAGCCAGTTGAAGGGGCCGAAAGCTTGTTTTAGGAAAATACGTTTACTTTTAGGGTGGCAGGAAAGCGCTGGGTAGGTATTAAGAATGTCTTGGCTGAAAGCAAGACTTGGCTGAAAGCAAGACATGACACAGGAACTTACTGGAAGAATCTCAGAGTCTCTCAAGGAGTCCTAGGGAGAGTTGAAAATCCAGGCCTTGGGAAGGGCTGGAGCTAGGCTGGCTTTGGGAAGCTCAGCCATAGGAGTTGTTTCGCTTTAGACTGGTTGCCTTGAGCGTCTGACTGACTGCTGGGCAAGTATTTATTGAGCTCCTGCTGTGCCGACACCGTGCTAGGCACTGAGGCAGAAATGTGGTCCTGTCCCCAGAGGGCTTTACAAAATTCCAGATTCCTAGGAATTGACAGGGCTGCTCCGGTTCCCTGTGTATACTGAGGACAGTTTTCAAAGAAGGGAGGGTTAAGGTGAGTCAGGAAGCCACCCTGACAGAGGCTTGCTAATTTTCACCTTTCATTTGTCTAGCGTATGTGCATATGTGTGTGCACAGACATACATACATTGGGTATAGTTATGGGAGACGTCTCTCCATCCCTGATCCCTCGGTCCCTGGACTGTGGTTCAGAGAAGCATCACGTCCCACAGCTCTGAAAGACGTGGTGTTCTAGCAGGCAGCACAGCAGAGTCCTGGAAGGCCTGCTGCTTCTGCTGAGAAGGTACATGGGAGGACTGAGAATCCTATGGCAATCACACCCTTGCTTCATTTGATTTGTGGAGAAGTGCGTTGGTTGGTTTGAGGCAGTGCTATGTGGTATAGAAGACGTTAAGTCAGTGTTTGGGTGGTGGGGCTGGCAGAGGCACACCAGTCCATAGGAAGTGTCTGTTCTGATGAGGATAAAGCACTGTTTGCTCTGGAAGAAGGAGCCTGATGTAATCAGCTTTCCACCAGGGAGCTGGCTGGTCACTTAGAGGTGTGATGCAGAATTGGGGACTTAGAGTGGGTCACTGTTGTTGGCAGTTGACACTCAGCAGGGTCAGAAGTCTTGGTGGCCGTGGAGAGCAGGAGTATGTGTTGTCAAGGCCACGTGGCGTCTCTCTCCCTGGCACCAAGGCCAGTGTGTCCATCAGCCTTTTGAGCAAGCGCTAGGCTGCCTGCAGGAGGAGAATGACTGGGGATCCAGAGAGCAGCCGTGCCTGCCTCCTAGTTTTAAGGATTCTCTTTGCTGCGAAGGGTGGAGACTTTGGAAGAGCACTGTCTTAGTCGTTCAGGCTATTATAACAAAATACCATAGCCTGGGTATTATAAACAACAGGAGTTGATTTCTCACAGTTCTGGAGGCTGGAAGTCTGAGGTCAGGGTGCCAGCCTAGTCAGGTTCAGGCGAAGGCCGTCTTTCAGGTTGCAAACTGCCAACTTCTCATTGCATCCTCTCATGGTAGAAAGAGAGCAAGAGAGCACTCTGGGGTCCCTTTTATGAGAGCACTATCCCTTTCATGAGGGCTCTACCCTCATGACCTAATCACCTCCCGAAAGCCCCACCTCCTAGTCCATCACATTGGGGGTTAGGATTCCAACATAAGAATTGTGGGGGATACAACCGTTCAGTCCATTGCAAGCATTCATGTGGAACGTGAATATTTTCAGGCTCTGGTTCCATTTGGGCCCATTGTTGTAGCCATTTCCCAGATCTATTTGTCACTAACCCTCTGACTTTATTTATTCCCAGTCCCTACCCGTGCAGTTCAGCCCTTCACCATTTCCCAGGTTTCAGTGTAGATCCCTACTCCAGGCGCCTCCCCTGTGCACACTGGACAAGGAGACGTTCCACGTCATGCCTACAGGGAGGGTTTCTCTTTTCCGTCATCCTTCAGACGACAGGAGTAGCATGAGCAAAATCGTTGACACTGGGCGAGGAAAGCTGCAAATGGTTCACTGTTAACAGGGTGTCCAGGTTTTGGGTTGGGGGGTTAAGGCTGGTGGAGGCCAGCCCTTGGAAGGCATTATATGTCATGCTACTTTCTGGACTTTATCCTATAGCCTGTGAAGGATTTTAAGCCAAGAAGGAAAATGATCAGATTTGCATTTTAGGTAGATTTTTATGGCATCGAGACAGATTAGGTTGTTCTAGTCCAGATCGGAGATGATGAAGGCTTGAGTAAGAGTTGGAGAGATTTAGAAGGTATTGAGGAGCTCAAGTGGCAGAACTTGGTGAGTGGACGTGGGAGGCAAAGACTCGGCAATGATGATAAATGGATGGTGCTGCCGTTTTCTGAAAAGAGGAAGAGGAACAGGTGCTGTGAGGATCAGAGAGAATTTATATAAAGTGGAGGCAAGTATGATGGTGATTTGTTGAAAGAATGATACCAGAACCTCTGTCCGAAGTGGGGAGTGGGAATTGCATGCCTTTTCCCTCTGAAGAAGTACCTGGTAGGGGGAAGAGGAGTGGTGGGAGCGCCCCCTCCCCTGCCAAGTGGCCCCTTCCCACACCTGCCTCATATCCAGACTCATAGGGTTGGAAGCCTCAGACCTCTGGAGAAGGGCGAGATGGGGGGTCTGCTGTCAGAGACACGGTGTTGGCCAGGCCCACCTCGGTCATGTGCCCCTGATCCCGCCCAGGGCCTGAGTTCTTCACTGAAGCCCAGGATGGTTTGAGAGAATCACTCCCAGCTGCCTGGACCAATTTCTTCCATCTTTGGAGGAATCAAAGCAGCTAGGAAGGATAAAGGGGAAAAGTTTCAGTGAAAAGAATTGAAAGAAGGGAGAACTCAAAACAAAAATCAGAACAAATTCTTAACGTTCAATTCTTTGTGCCTCTGAGAACTGGGGAGATGTTGAGCTGCACCTGCTTCTAAGTGTGGCCACTTCTGGTTTTTCCTAGACAGGAAAAAGTGTCCTGTCATTAAGGAGGAGTGCCCGTCTTCCTGAGTCACTCAGTCTCCTCTGGCAGCGAGGGAGTCTCCACTCAGTAACTGTGACCTGCCATTGTCACAAAGACTTATCAGATAAGGCCTCAGATGTTTCTTTTGTTCAAAATGTTCCAAATCCACTGTTCCCCTTCTCTTTGAAGGAATGATTAACCACACACTGATCAATTACTATGAAGGGAGGCTGGCCGTGTCGACACATGGCAATTAGCTAGCAAAGAGGAGCTTGGGCCCAAAGGGTTCCCAAGATGTGTTGCTGAGGGGACAGCTCTGGCTGAATATTCCTGACTCCACAGAGCAACCACCTGAAAGAGGAATTGGTGATCAAACACTATAACTAGGCTAGAAAAAGGAACGGCAGTGTGTATTTCCATTTAAGAACACTTTATACACAACTCGCTCTCTACCCCCAGAAGGAAAATAGATACCTTAGTCTTCACTGCTTCCATTATAAGGACCACTTCACACCACCATCCAAAAAGGATTACAGGGACACTTTCTGCTCTTTAGATAGGCTTTCCAAAAATGATAGAAGCTGTGTATTCGCAGAGGTACACTGGGCCTCATCTGTCCACCCACTGGAGAGGACGTAATACCCCAGCTACTAAAGGATGTTGAAAAGAGACTTGCATGTTCTGATCAAAGGAGGATTTTGTGAAAAAAGACGAAAGGAAGGAGAACCAAATGTGAGAATGAGCCAGTTGTTAAAGTTTAGATTCTTTCTGGCATCTGACCTTGAGATGTCACTGTTCTAAGTTTGGCTCCATCTCATTCATCACAGACAGAAGGAAACACATTCTGCCATGGAGGGGAGTGATCCAGGATGGCATTGCTAGTGCTCTGTGATTGATCTGTCTAAACCCTGACACACACAAGGCATTCGCTTTTACCCGTTTCAATGATTTCATCTGTAATTTGAATTTGTATCGTTATGTTCACTGCATTAACTCAGTGTAGTTGTAAGAACATTGCCCTGTCTCATCTCGTACCTTTCTGTCTCCTGAATTAGGGGCCAATTTTTTTTAATAGGGGATATTGATCATTCTTTTGATATGCTTTAGTTGGAATGCTTTTGGCTGCAAGTAACAGATAACCTAATCACAGTGCTTAAACAAATAGGGTATTCTTTTCATACAAAAGAGAAGTCCTAAGGCCGGAGATTGCCAGCATTGGTACAGTGGCTCCATAGTGTTGGGGCTGAGGGCTTTGCATGTTTTGTTTGTTTCTTTTATTGGCCTTTCCCTCATGGTGATAAGATGGCTTCTGAAGCTTCATCCATCACATCTGCATTCATGGCAAGAGGCAAGAGGCAGAAGGGTGGTTCCACAGTAGCCTCCCTGTAAACTCCCTTGGCAGACTTCTTCTTGGGTCCCATTGTCAGTCTTGGATCCCTAGGCCACCCTCTTCCACCCACACCCAGAGGAAAAAAAGGCAGGAAAGTAGGTTGCCATGACCAGCTTAGACTAGTTCTCATT